AGAGAGAGAGAGAGAGACATGACACAAAAAAAAAAACGCCATCGGTGAGTGTTGCTGTGCGCCACGGCGTTGCCATGGCGGGGTCCACTTGTTGCTATAAAGGAGGTGGATGAATCAGCTTTCCTTCACATGAGATGGTGGTGGCCGGGACCCTCCTGAAGAGACTTGCTTACACGCAAGTCGAAATGCATCTTGGGAATTGCGTAAGTGAATGCGGTGTTTGGTGTGCAGACTGGGAATACAAAGCTTCATTTTTGTACATCTGTTATGCTCTCCATGGCTTTGATGTTCGTTCGTTTGTACCCTTGATTTCTTCTTCTTCTTCTTCTTCTTCTTCTTCTTCTTCTTCTTGGACTATACTCCTACAGCTGTTGCCTTACTGGCCACTGGCCACTGTAGTATGATACTCCTGCTCCACTACTATGACTACTTTAATAATTCTTGGACTATGCTCGTACAGTAACTACCATACTACTATATACTACCACTATAGTACTGTACTACTGTCGACGGGCAGGCTGCAAACGTGCTATGTCCATACTACGAAATGACGAACTGCTCCTATGGCCAGATTTATGCTTTCCAAGTGGGACCTGCTACTATGCGTCTCAAAGTCTTAAGTGCTTGAGGGTGGTCTTTTCTCTATACTACTAAAAGTTGTAAAGGTCCCGCCGACATGCTCGGTCGTGGGCCCAAGGGAAACCCGTGGAGGGGTGGAACCGGGTAGGGGAACCTGTGCAGGGGCGAGGCCCAGGCCGAGGCGGGCATGAAAAGCGACGCGGCTATGCGCAGGGCGGATGCGAGGTCCAGGGGCGGAGGCCCAGAGGCCCTGGAAATTGCGGCGCTGCGGTCACCAGCGCGGTGCTGCAGCCGGACGTGCAAAAGGGAAAATCGACGTGGGGCGCAGCAGCGGGACGTGGGCAGTGAGGGGCGGGGAAATTGCGGCATTGTGTGTGCAAGTGGGGCTGGTGGAACTATGCCGCCTGCCAGTTTCTGTGCGCGGGGTGGCAGGAGCGAAGTGCAGCAGGCGCAATGGTAGTGCGGGGTCGGGGGGACATCGCGCGAATGGGAAGCAAGCGTCGTCGTCGTGCGGAGGAGCAGGAGGAGGAAGGGCGGAAGAGCAGGAGTAGCAGCGGGAGGAGGAGGAAGAAGAGCGGCAGGAGCAGCAGGAGGGCGAACGGGAGAAGGACGATCCACCATCTGTTGTTGTTAAGCGGTGTGAAAGGGAGGGCGCGCGCGCGCAAGAGAGAGAGAGAGAGAGAGAGAGAGAGAGAGAGAGAGAGA